AGCAGCCCAGTGCAGACGCCGCGGGAGAACAGGGTGCCCGGCTGGGGGGGGGGGGCAGCTGGCTGGCGCAGAGAACTGCAGGCGGGAAGGGGATGCGCATGCGGAGGGAGGACGGCGGCGCGATGTGAGCACTCACGACGCACCCGCAGGGCCACGTCACCCAGCCCGCCCCAGGCAGTAAACAAAGGCGAGCGGGTGGAGAGCGTCTGCAGGTGCCGGGGAACATGGGGGTCATTTCCCCCTTTGGGGAGGGAAGCCCAGCGCAGCGGCTGAGGACAGTCAAGTGGGGACGGTCAAATACGCAGGTGGACAGAGGAGCGTGGTGAGGAAGCCTTGGGGGAGCCTTGGGAGAGGCAGGAATAACCTCACGGCGAAGCCCAGAGAGAAAAGGCATCATTTAGGTGGTTTTTCAGGAAGACGTCTCTCTTGCTTCCTTTTAACCTGAGTGACAGTAAATGCCCCACCTCGTGTGGACAGCTGCCTATCAGGGCTTTTATGGAAGACATTCCAGGTCTTCTCTCGCCTGACCTGGCAGGCTGGTCACGGCTGAGACCTGCTTTTCCAGGGGTGGTTTCCGGGGTGCTGGCTGCAGTGAGCGCGGGGTGCTGGGTTCCTGCCCCAGAGCAGGACTCGAGTGGCTAGCAAGCGGGGAGGCTTTGTTTCTCGAGCTTTCTGTTTTGTTCCCTTGTTTTTCTCATGAGGAACAGAGAGCAAATATATCACACTTCTTAACTTCTCTGAAGTAACAGGCAAGTGCCTCTGATTCAGCAAGCCATCCAGAGGAGAAAAGCTTGATAATGCAAACAGCTTTCCAAGAGGTTAAGGCAAGGCTTGCACGTGGGGATACTAAATCTATGAGAGAACAATCCAAAGCCCCCCACCCCCAGCCCTCGCATGATGGGCTGGCATTAGCAAAGGGGGAGGTTTGGGATGCTCTTTGTACGGGGAGGCCTCCTAAGAGGCATGGACGCAGGCTGTCGGGGTCAGCGGGGGCCCCAGTGCACCTATGCCCAGCTGTCTCGGCCCAGGGTGGCAACCTCGCCAGACAGACGGCATCAGAATGTGGGTCCTCCCGACACTCAGAGCTCTGTAGGTGCAACATGTCACCTCTCGTCAAGGCTCCAACCACAGACGTCCACTATGGGAAGATCTCTTACACCCCCATTTAGCAGAGCACAGTTCAGGGGGCGGGGGGCGGAGGGCAGAGGGCAGATTTCCAACCCGATGCAGCGCACCATGCCAGACTGGCCACGAGTGGAAGGGTCTCAGGGACAGGCACAGACCCATGGGTATGAGCTGGTGAGCACATGGAAGGCCCCCCAGGACTTAAGGCAGGTGCTGCCTGACCCCTAGAAAAGGTACAAGGACTGTCCCTCTGCAGAAAGTGGAGGATGGGGCTCTGCCTGGGTCACTGCGGGGGACACTGAGTAGCTTCCTGTCCCACCCACTCGGGACCCAGCTGCCCATCAAGGCCCTGCATTGCCCCTTGGCCGTGCCCCCGGGCCTGTCTCCTGAACCTAGACTCTTACACCTCAAGGTGGCGGCGGGGCTGTGAAGGGACAGTGGGGAGCATAAAGGGTTTCTGGGGATCTGGCCAGAAATATGAACACTCTGATATTCCTGTTTACTTTCTGAGAGCAAGACTAAGTAACGAAATAGAGGCAAGAGGCAGGTTTTATAAGCTGAGACAGGAGGAAAACAACTGTTGAGGTTACCGAGGGACGGCCAGATCTGCAGGCTCCTATTCCAGCCCGTGGCGCTCCAGAAGCCACAGGCCCCAGCTCCTCGTCTGGGCCGAGACCCCGGGGGTGCTGCTGGAATGGAAGGGGGTCTCAGCCAGGAACCCAAAGGGCCGGTAAGGGCCTGGGTCTCCTGAATCTTTGTTCTCTGCTGACAGCTGGTGCCTCAGGACGCAGGGAGCCGGGAGGGTGGCAGCCGGAGCAGAGGAGAACAGGCCAGGACGCAGCCTGCCCGCACAGGCCCGTGGGGGGAGTTTTGGAGAGTAACACTCGCACAGAGTCTAGTCTCAGGCATGAAAGTATCTCCTTGAAAACAAATTGTGCGATTAGGTTTCTTCTTCACTTAAAATGTTGTTTTTAATCACGCACATGTGCTCAGTCACTCCCCCCTCACCTCCAACACGGCTCTGTCCAGCCGTGGGGCAGAACCACCACGTGGACCAGAGTTTCTCTGCTCACGCCACAAGGCGGTTCTTTAAGACCTTATTATTCATAACCCAATATGTGGACATTTTTTCATCTGAAATTTTTGAAAATGTACTTTATTGGACTGGGCAGATGTGAAAAAAATGACTGAGGCATGAAAGCCGAGAAAATGCGGGATCTGGGGGTGAGTGAGTGTGCTCCTTCCTTCCTCCTGCTGGGACGTTCAGGGCAGTAGGAACCGAAGCTACGGAAGACCCTGTCCTCGGAGACTAACCGCGAGGGACCGGGACACACATGCCATGAGGCCCCTCCTGCCAAGAGGAGACCCAGGGCCTGGGGGCACAGAGCTTGCGAGACAATGGCCCGCGCTGAGGCCTCCGTAGTGTCCTCAAGCCCACGTGGCTCCCGGGTGAGACGCTGGGGGGCCCAGGGCCTGGCACACACCCCTCTTCACACCTGATCAAGACTCAGGGGAAGCAGAGCAGACCAAGGCCTCCTGTTTGTTGAGAAAGCCACGGCGTCTCACTTCCCGAGTCGCTGCCTCTTCACTGGTCTCACCCCACAGCCCCCGTCCCTTCTACTCCATGGAGACCCTGGTCAGCGCTGCCTGATCTCCTGGACCTGACCACGGACGGGGCCCTGGCAGAGAGGCCTTTATAGAGTCCAAAGGTGGATCCCCTACCCCTAACCCACAGCCTAAGTCCTAATGCTGCGAGGGAACAAATAACCGTACAAGCTTCCTTGCATTACGGGGGCAAAGTGAGAGAAAAACGGACCAGGTTCCGAGCCCCTTCCACCCACGGGCGGTTAAGTTCACCAGGGTTCCTCATCACTGAAGAAACACTTTCTTGGCAAATAGAGTGTGAGAGGCTTTGTGCGGGGCAAGGACGTTTGGGGGCTAGAATGTCCCTGAATATAAGAGAGACAAGGCCCAGGGAACAAAATGGCACTTCACTGTAAAACAAGCAAAACCCAACTTCACAGGAACTTTCCAGGACAAAGTCCAGTGTCTAAATACATCCTTCCTTCCCCCGGCGAGCCTGCGATTATGAACAGCAGGACTTGAGGAACACACCGCGGGGCAGGCAGGAACACAGAAAAGGCTCAGAACCATGTTATTTGCAGTGATTACGTTCACCAGGGCTCCTCTGTGCAACACCCAGGCTTGAGGAAGAAGTTGTACTGTGTTTTCATCGCGGGGTTTAAATACATTGTGAACTCCTGGAACATTCTGCACTGGGCAGCGGGGGAGCCCCCAAGGTCCCCTTGAACTCAGAGTCACGTCCATACCAGCCCCTGCTCCAACCTCACGGCGCCTCCGCCTTTGGCCCAAACCCCAACCCCCACCTGCTCTGCATGGACAGCTGGACCCTTCCAGCTTCTCCCGAAGGGGACCCTCAGGTGGCACTAGGCCCCGCGGGCCCGGGAGTGGGGGAGAGGCTGTAATTCAGGAGGCAGCCGACGGGGAGCTGTGTCTTGGGGGGCTCCCTCCACCTCAGCAAGGACCCACCCTCTGAGGCAGAAGGGGCTCCAGGATGTGCCGGGTGCACGACGGAGGGCACACAGGGGTGGGGGGTGGGGGGAGCAATGGGAATGTCCCAAAATTAATAGAAAAAACTTGAGTGAGACTGAATACGGGGGCGTTCCCTCACGAAGAGAAGACACATTGTGCACCCCCAAATCTGGAAGACGTGGCATCTGAGTACTGCAGACACATGGAGCCTGCGATATAATACTGTTCAAAGCACACTCTACCCTTTCTGTATTTTTCTAGAAGCTACAAACCAATGAATCTTACAAGGGCTGGCAGTCTCCGATTAGCTTCTCACTAAGAGCCAACCAGCACTGGCTCATAGAAATTAGCACAAGGTGTATGTGTTACTTAAATTTTTTTAGTATCCACACTTTAAAAAATAAAAACAGGTGAAATTATTTTAATCTAATACTAATTCATCTTATTAAATCCACTACGAAATACACCATCCTTTCAACATGCAATGACCAGCCTATAATTAAACGTCCTTTATCCAGACCAAGTTCTGAAATCAATCCAGGGTATCTGTCATGCCAACGGACCATCTCAGCCCTGCCTGGCCGTGGCTCAGGGCTCCACAGCCATGAAGGTCCACCATGCTGGACCTTCAGGACACATGCTGACACCATGTGCCGGGTCGTGACTGATGCCTCTAAACCTACATGTCCTACAGCTCAGCTCCTCACCTTTATCTAAAGGTTTCACGAACCGTGGTATTTCAGTTTAAAAGCACTTCTTTCAAAAGCCACCTCTGGGTCCAGGCCGCAGAGCCCACCTGGGCCTGCCTGGGCAGCCAGCCTCTCCTGGGGCCCAGCTTCGTCCAGGTCCTGGCCAGGCCTGCGGGTCTGGGATGTCCTGAGCCGCTTTACAGCTTTGAGGACAGTGTGGCCGAGCTTTCAGGTTCACTTCCTGAGATGAGCACTTAACAGAATAAAGGCCTCACTGTGTGCAAATGGACTCAGGAGGTGCTGAAGATGGACCTGCCTACTTTAAGGTCCTGGGGTGGCCTGCAGCACCCCGCATTTTCTCTGTTATGGCAGCGAGGGAAGGGCTCCCTCTCCTTCTCTAAGCTGTCACCTACGTCCCATCCCGGGACGGCAGGTGACCCGTCACTCAGAAGAGCAGCCAAACCTTCATTCTGCATCAGCTCCCGAGGGGTTGAAGAGGCCAGAGACTCTGACAAGGCCCACAGCTGGCCAACGAGGAGGGGCCGTAGCTCCCCTCAGCCCCACAGTGGTGGGGACAGAGGCTCCATGTCCAGTCCAGCGGGAGTGGCCTGGCCAGCCAGCGGGGGTCCCTACCTTTGTGGTTGAAGATGCCCTCCATTTCCATGCTGCTCCTGGAGTGGGCGATGCACAGCGAGCCGCAGGGCACCAGGCCCTCCGCCGCCGGGGAGCGGTCTGTGGTCCGCACTAGGCACCAGTCGGGCCGGTCGTGGGGCCGCTCCAGAACCTCCACTGTCTGGCCGCGGCGGATGGTCAGCTCAGTGCTGTTGCAGGCCGTGAAGTCGTGGATGACCACAGTCAGCTCACAGCCGCCAGAGAGCTGGGGAGGGAGGAGACAGGTCAGCGAGCTCGGCCAGACTTCTCCCCTCCCACGGCATCACGGTCACAGCCCCACGCATCACCCAGGAGAGAGAGCACAGGACCAGGGGACAGAGCGCAGGACACAGGGGACCGCACACAGGACTCAGGGGACAGCACTCAGGACACAGGGGACAGCGCTCAGAGCTTCATTTCCGCTGGAATCAGGCACATCATCACTTTCCCTTCTTAGGTCGAACGGATGACTCTGAGTTTTACCGTCAGGACCTGGTATGGTTTTCACGGGAGTAGCCGAATCTTTTTAAGACAGCATCACTCCCCCCTGAAGGAGTGCCGTATCCTCACTTTTAAAAAGCTGTATTATTCTTTCACTGCGGTAACGCTGGCTCACAGCACTGGATGTGGCTTCCCAGCGCCCCCCGCCGAGGCGCTCAGCCACGCACCACAGGGCCCGGGGCCCCTCCCACTGCATCCTGCATCCACCCTCCCCCTCAACAGCCTCCATGCCACAGCCCGGTGTCTAGGTTTGCTTTGGCTTAGCTTTTCTGACACTTCGGCTTTGTCAGTTTATATTCCACAGATCGTGAAATCACCCCTTGTCTTTCTCCTTCTGACTTATTACACTTAGCATCATCCCCTGCAGCGCCATCGTGTTGTGCCAAGTGGCGAGATTTCTCCTCTTGTACGGCGCAGTCCACCGTGTATATAAACGACCCCTCCTCTGTCCACTTGTCTGCTGTGGGCACTTGGGCTGTTTCCACCATGGGAGGATAGAAAACAGTGCTGCAGCGAACACAGGGGCGCAAACATCCCTTTGAACTTCTGTTTTTGTACTTTTTTAGGTAGGCACCTGGGAGTGGAATTGCTGGGTCAAATAACAGATCTTTCTAACACCGAGAAGCCTCCACACAGCTTTCCAGGAGGAACTACGTTCCCTCCTGAGCGGTCTCCTGGAGAGAGCTTCTTCCACGCCGTCTCCACAAGCCACCAGCCATCTTTGGGCGCCGCCTAATCCTGCTACCCAAGAGCCTACAAACTCCATGGCGTGGACTCTGTAAGTTCTATCACCGGCTCCCAGCCCACCAGGCCGGGGGCCCCGAGTGACCGTGTCCTGCCTCCCACGTGCGTCCCGCGTGCACCGTGTCTGTGCAGACCCGCCCCCTAGAGGCTCCGCTGCCCCAGTTCCCCGTCACAGTCCTCCATCAGATCCCTCTGAGAATCCCCCCCGTGCCCACCTTCCTAAGCCCTTTGTAAACAAATTTTGTCTCAATTCTGAAATGAGCCAGGTCCTGGATCACACAGGCGTGTGAAGCTTCCACCTGCAGGACGGTGGGCCCCGAGCCCCACGCCTGGGAGGGGGGCGCACCCGCGGCCGGGCACCGAGTCAGGGGGACACAGCTACGCCCCAGGTGCCCTCCGGAACTGCTACAGCAGGGGACGGAGAAACGCTGTGTGGAGAACGCCATTCCCGCCAGGAGGTTCAAGCAACAACGAAACTGCCCGGGACACACTTCTCAGGAGGTGCGTGGTGCATGACTGTGCCTGTCCGGCACCTGAGCACAGGTCCGTGTCGTTCTGCAATTTCCCGGAGCATCTCTGCCAAGGTCCCATGCGCACGCGGCCCAGTTAGTCCGTGTCCCCTGAAGGGCGTTGGGATGGAGAAAGCACAGGACAGAGGGACAGACTGGCAGGGCAGTGGTGAGCGGGAGGGGGGCACGGCCTGGACCCCCGCCGGGCAGCACCCTGGCTCCAGACCCACCCAGCAGAGAGCCTGGAGCCCACTGTGTCTGGGCCGCCCACCCGCCCGCAGGCTACACCCGCCAGCCATGCTCCACGCCGTCCATTACCCTCCTGCTCAACAGCCTTTCAAGGGAAAGCGGAGATATTTAAAATAAGAAACACATGTCCACGAAACCACCACAAAGAGCAAAACAAAACAAAAGCCTTCCACAATAAATCGCAATCTGTGACAAAGATACCAGCCTCCGCTGGGCCACAACGGAAGTTCTACACGTCTGACCCCTTTCTAAGTTTTACCCATTCCTCTGTGGGGGAAAAAAACACGCTAAATCTCACACGTTTCTCTGGGGATGATCAAAGATGCTAAGGGAAAGAGGTTCGAGGTAGAGGCCCCGCTTGGGAAAGAATCTTCCTTGCAAAACTCCACACAGGGGAAGTGGTTAATCCCTGCAACAAAGAAAAAGGAATGCTTTCTGTTCCAGGGGAAGTGTGGCCAGTGAACAGGCCCGAGACAAAGACCAGCTGGCCGAGGCCCCGCAGGACCTGTGGGGGCCCTCTGCTGCCTGGGGGGCCCCCTCAGTAGGCGTGTCAGCCCTGCCAGAGCCCCGCACCCCAAGTCCATCAGCACATCCATCAAGCTGGCCCGACATCTTGGCCGGCCTGGGAAGCCGACTCCAAGGCTCTCCCTCAACACCAGGCCCTGGCTTGCTCCGTTCTCAAGAGTTTCAGTCATTTTTCACTGTTCAGAGCCACAGGGTGCCTCCTGGGGCGGGGGGAGGGTGGGAAGGGGCGAGCGGGCCGAAGGAGGAGAAATACGCTCGACTTTATTCCTGGTACTCATTTTTTTTTTTTTGCGGCCCCTCACAGGGTAATCAAGAAACTATTGGAAACATCTGTGCACTTGACAGAAGGAAAAAATCAAGCCAGTTCTGACAAAGAATTGCACACTAAGTCAAAAAAAATTTTGAAGGCTTTAGAGAAACCTTATTAACAGAACCTAATACCGGAAGAATCTGTTTTCAAACGGTGCCAGAATTATCATGAAAAAAAAATATCGTATCTTCTTGGCTTTCCTCCTAAGAGTGAACTGAGTTGACCTGTAAGACGCCCCGGCACACAGTCAGGAGTAAACGGACGTGCTCTGGTCTATGAGAGAGCGAGCCCGTGGATGCCACCTCAGTGTTCATGTGACTCTCTTAAACATCTAGGACACGACGTCTGTCTTAGCTGATTAATTAGTGATTAAATAATAATTTAATTCACTCATTGGATTTATTTGTACGCAAGACTTAATGCGGCTGTTCTGAGGAAGCAGTGCAAATCTCTGCTGTCTTTTAGGACTTAAACGGCTAATTACAAAAATTCCGACCCTACTGCACATCGTCCGGTTGGATGGGTTCTCCCCTGCTTCCAAAGCCACTTCCGCCGAGTAACCCAATTTCATCCCTGCGCTGAAAGAGCTACCGTTACCCTCACCTAGTCTGAAATTCGGTTTCCTTTCCAAGGCGCTTTTTCACTTTCCCGTGACTTACTGGCTTCTGTCATGGGCTCTGGCCACCCGCACTCAGCCTGGGGCTGCAGTGTAGGAAAATCTCCATTTCTTTTTTTCTTTTTTTTTTTTTAAAGATTTATTTATTTATTCAAGCACTGGGTACAGTCAGAAGCGCGGGAGGGTGAGAGAATTCACCAGAGCCAGAGCGGGGAGCAGAGCAGGCAGAAGGACCGAAGTCCACTGCTGAGGGGAGCAGCGGGCGGCAGGAGAGGGCTGCGCGCCATGTGGGGACCCTCGCCTGGCAGCCGGGGATCGAACCGGCGCTGCAGAGGCTACGGGCACCTTTGCAGCCCAGCACTCAACAGCTGCGCCACCAGGGGAGGCTCAGAAAGTCTCCATTTCTACGACTCCTATTAACTCTTGTGAAATTCACATCAGAAGACAAGTTTTTTCTAAAGTTTTTGTGCTTTTCACCTTTCAAAGATGTGTGTGGCGACACAGAAGCGGCGGTGAGGCGCGCCCCCTGGAGCGTGGCCAGGGCACCAGCCAGGGGCCGCCTGCCCAGCAGGCCCTCCACACCGGGCTGGGGCCCTGGCCCGGCAACTTGCTGTTTCACCAGAAGGAAGGAAACAGCTCATCTCTGGCCTCCTGCAGTTTTCCTTTAGGGATCGCACAGAGAGGATTTTACTTGCGAGGTTTTCCACTGCAGCCTTGCTATGGAGGGCGGGTCCTGCGGGGAGTGGGGGCCGGGCGGGGGCCTCACCCCCGAGGGGCGGATGATGGGGTTCTCCCCGCAAAGGATTCTACTTCTGGGACCTCCATCCAGTGCAGGTCCGGGTCTAGTCAATTTTCCAAAAGCAACTAGAAAGGAAAGGGCAGGGTGCGGCCCAAAAAGAGCCATTTTCCCCACGGAACAATGTGTCCAGCTCCCGGATGGGGTAGGGCCGCTGGCTCTTCACACTTGTCATCCAGAAACCTCACCAAAAAGGGCTTGGGCTTCGAAGAGGTCCCAGAGCAGACCCGAGGCCGCGTCCCCGGGGAGCAGGGCCGGGGAGCCTGGCGCTGGCAGCCAGACCTGGGGCCAGTGGACACCATGCCAAGGGGCCTCGTGGCGGCTTCCCAGACACCCGTCCAGGCAGCACCCCGCGCCCCCGCCACCGGAGAAGCTCTCCCCAAGCCCTGTCATGGGCTTCAAAGGGGACGGGGGGCCTCCCCAATGGCGCAGCAGTTGAGCGCTCGGTTGCAAAGCTGCCCGCAGCCTCTAGAGCACCAGTTCGATCCCGGCTACTCCCCGGCCACCGGACGAGGGTCCCACATGGCGCGCAGACCTCTCCTGCCGCCCGCCGCTCCCCTCAGCAGTGTACTTCAGTCCTTCTGCCTGCTCTGCTCCCCGCTCTGGCTCTGGTGAATTCTCTCACCCTCCCGCGCTTCTGACTGTACCCAGTGCATGTATAAATAAATAAATAAATCTTTAAAAAAAAAAAAAAAAAAAAGGGGGGGACGGGACCTCACACATCAGGGGCAAGAATGGAAGCCGTGAGAACTCACAAATGGTCCAGAGGGTAAACGTCCCATTTTTAAACACACCAAAAAAAAAAAAAAAAAAAGAAAGAAAAGAAAAGAAAAAGAAAAAAAAAGGAAAGAAAATCTGTAGAACAAAATTTTCCAAAAACAAACTTACCACACCCAGCACTTTCTCCAGAACAGAGACAGTGAGTGTGGCCACGCTGAGGGGCGCTGGGGTCCCTCGGTACTGGCTGGTCACACTC